AAAAACCATGGATGATAACCAGGATCCTTGCAGTATACCGATTTATCTGAAAAACTAAACATGGATAGGCTACCTATTACTTGACCTACAAAAAATTTGAAAGCAATTATTACTTTGTTAACTATGTAGAAACAAACATATCATTCATCATTATAACACTTGAGACCAAAACAACACAAATTAACCCTCGTTTGAGAGCAGAATTACTTTCATACTTCTGAGTGCGAAAGAAATGCCAAAGAAATGTGCAAGATAAGTTATTATTTTATTTGATAATCCTAATTATAATATTACTTATTACTCAAAGGTTAGCTAAGATACTGATTTGAGAAAAACGTGTTTGAGGGCATATGGGTTCAATGTATCAACATGCTAATGATAGTGCGCAAATTTTTGGTCATAATTATAGCATAGGTGCAGGGCATGATGAAACACGAGACAATTATTTGACAGAGATGATTTTTCAAACACGAAAAGAACCAGGTATCAAATATTCTAAAATCTAAAATTTAATCGTATTCACTGCGATAAAATTTTTATTCGCAAACTTGGATACTTTACATTTGAATTATCAAACTATTACAAACACCCATAATCATACCACATCAAATTGATTTTAAAATTATTACACCAATCCTATTTTTCAATTGATTAAGTTAACCAGTCTAGAATGTGAACTTGCCCATGATGCCTGGCAGAGTGGGATTGGAAATAAAAAAACTCTTTTTAGAATTTACAAAACTACAAAACCGATAGCCTATAGAAAATATTATGGAAATCGTTCTTAACAAAAAATGTAAATGAACAAAGACAAGAAAGCGATACTCAAACACATGGATATGAAGGACTAATGACTGACCACAGTGCCAATTGAAAAAGAAAAATTTTGGATGAAATATCAGACTTTGGGACACACAGAAAATCTTTAAAGAAAAGTATTCAGCCAACTTAATTTTAAGTTCTTAAATTAACTCAAAGTTCTAAAAATTTGAAATTGATTGACCCAACAATCATGGAGAAAAACAACAGAAAGAATTTAGCGGAACAATCCATATGTTCACTACATAACTGTAACACTTGCAATGTTTTGTAGTAAAGTTAGGATTTTTGTCAAATTTAAGAATAAATAGATTTCGTAATCTCAGACTATGAAGTCAAATGATTCCTGATTTCATATTATTTCTATCATTTTATAACAGTGTGATTACAGTAGGTAGAACCATAGTTTGGAAGAAAGTTATTTCTTGCACGTCTGTTATCTGTAGACTGTAGTAGCCTATGGAACATATACCCACTTTGGTGAAATACTAGTGCGTAGGTAAGTATAAGTGAAATACTCAAACTTGTGGGTGAGTGGAATCCGAAAAAGCACTACGTTCCAATTCCTCTCGACCAGAAGCACCTAGGAATATTGATTATAATACTTCATCACCACCGAGGGCAAAATTCGAAATACTCAAACTTTTGAGTGAGTGGAATCCGAAAAAGCACTACGTTCCAATTCCTCTCGACCATAAGCACCTAGGAATATTGATTATAATATTTCATCACCACCAAGGGCAAAATTCGAAATACTCAAACTTGTGGGTGAGTGGAATCCGAAAAAGCACTACGTTCCAATTCCTCTCGACCATAAGCACCTAGGAATATTGATTATAATACTTCATCACCACCAAGGGCAAAATTCGAAATACTCAAACTTGTGGGTGAGTGGAATCCGAAAAAGCACTACGTTCCAATTCCTCTCGACCATAAGCACCTAGGAATATTGATTATAATACTTCATCACCACCAAGGGCAAAATTCGAAATACTCAAACTTGTGGGTGAGTGGAATCCGAAAAAGCACTACGTTCCAATTCCTCTCGACCATAAGCACCTAAGAATAATGGTTATGATATTTCATCACCACCAAGGGCAAAATTCGAAAGCCAACCGCCTCGGAAATAATTTAAACTATGGTATTTTTCAATAGATACATCCCATTTACCACCCACAATTATCATAGGAATTTAGAGCATGCTAAGGACTATCAAATATTTTTAAAAAGGTTCAAAGTACAACAAGCAAACTATAATTACCTAATGTGACAGACAAGAGAGGATAAATCAGACGAATTAACAATGAAGTATACTCAATACAGACATATTTATAATCAGATGTATACTTGAAACAATATAGGAATTGATATAGTCTGATCACTTGGACTATGAACTGCTTGAAAGTTGAAGAGAGATTAAGTACCCAAAGGTCATTATCTAAAACAAGTAACTGGTTGACTGTTCCGATACCAGACATAGACGAAAGCCGCTGTTTGCAATATGATTGAGCCATTTTATTAAATAAATATGAAAATTTTATCCTTGAATGCAGAATACAATATAAATTGGATCAGGTTCAACAAAGTCGAATTCTTTTTTTCCAACCAGTAAAAAATATCACAAGAGCTTGATTTATGAGAAAATAACAATTACAGTTTTACTGGGGAAAGAAAGTCGCGGGGAATCGAAGCAGATTAACGAGCAGCGACACTCGAGGTTCTAATATTCAATTCCAAAAACAGGAAATTCTAGTTTTAAAACTACTGAAATTGACAGTGAGTAGTGTGTGAATTATCCAACTAACACCGCTTATTAATAGATATTATATAGTAGAGGTTATATTGAATAAAAAGCACACTGAAAGAAATATATATTCAAAGGATTTGAGTTCGGAAATGAAAGAAAGTTTAAAAACAATGATTCGGATAGTTTTTAATTTTTTTTGCGGTTTTCAAATATTCATTGGATGTCACTGAGTCATACTGTGAGATATCAAATGACGAAACAAGTGTTTATCAAATAAAACTACTTTAAATTTTTCCACAAATTAAAGCATTTGAAATAGGGAATACAATTAATTTCAAATCAATTTGAATATTTGATTATTTTGGTCCTCCTCATATGCCATTTACATACTATTGAAGCATATTTTATATGGATATTCATGGTACTCCCCTAGTGTGTGTACAAGGTTACCGTTAGGCCAGTATTTTATTCCAATTTTCCTTATTTTAGTTCTATCTATGAGTTCGAGGACTGTCTGTGTTAGCCAAGTGAATATACGTCGTGTCCCTATGCTTCCGTCCCTTCACACAACTTGATGTAAAGTAGGCGAACAAAATTAGTTACCTCCATATTGGTACACACACTTCTGAAACGTCCATATTATTATGTACCATGGTTCAGCAAACATTTTGCAAATATCGGAAATTACAATCTATACAAAATATCTGCAAAAATTACAAATCAGATGCAGAATAAACAATTATTTCCAAGAAACAAGCTGGTGAGATCGTTATGTAACATGGAATTACATGTCAGATGAGTGTATGTATACAGATTATGTAAACATTCCCGATAACAGACATGAACCGCATGACAGTTTGTTTTCAATGTTTAAATAAATCGAAATTCTAACGTACAAAATAAGCATTCTTGATATAATAAAATCATTAATGCAGGAATTACATCCGATGAACTCTTGAAAAAATGGAAATTCCTAAAACCCCACAACTTTCACTGGGCAATTAGAGTCATAACGAATTGACACACAGACTATAAAATTGTGATATCAAGTGATCTCTTAGACTAGCTATCTTCAAAGCTAAACATCTTATTTGTTATCTAAAAGACAATGCTGCGCAGTGTAATATTGAAAAAATTTCAAAAGTTTAAAAAATTTATATGTTCACAATCACATCATTCAGGACAAAAAAAATATCAATAAATTTTATAATGCTATAAAGTATGCAAAGTACCTTGCCTACATTCACACTATTTAGGATAGAAGGATTTCAACTTTGAAAAAGGCAGTGTACAAATTACCTTCAATGATTTATTATCATTAGTATATAGCAGCCTACACAGGTGATAAGACAGACTACCACAATTTCCTCACAGCAACCTTCACCCACTTATCCTGAAATAGCTTTTGTTTATTAGAAAAATAAAAACGCTATTTATAAAAAAGAATATGTTGATTGAGAAAACACAACCATGTGCATACTATAGCGGATATAGGCTATACATATTTAATAATATCAACAGAAATAGTATTATTATTATTATTATGCATTACCCATAACAGATTATCAGAAAATTAAATAAGCATTTCTGAAATTTTCGATTTCAATTATACATTATGTAAATTTTCCTAGTTTCATTCAGAAAAAAAAATGATTTAAAACATGAACGTCAGTACTCATGATTGGTTAAACGTTCAGGAAATGAGTAGTGTCATTCCTTTAGTTGAAAAGGTTGAAAGCATAGCATTTGCAGCAAACAATGAATGCTCTTGTAGAACGATTTTGTAGAACAACGAAATAAAACATCTCTAAATATTTTTACAATAACAAAATATTTTTTGGAGTTTGGTTCTAATTGGAAATTATCAAAGTGATTCAATTAAAAATTGATTTGTTGCAATTGTTTGGCAAACCCAAATCGAAAATACCCATATTGTGCAAGATGAAGTATAAGATCTAAACAAAATATAACATGACTTATTGAACATTAGTATTTTGGCATCCCCAGAACTAAGATCTAGTTCAACAGGTACTGATAATGATATATAAAAAACTGCTATTATTTTAAAGACGTGCATCTACTACATTCGCATTCGTCTTCCCAACTTTTTGTACTCCTGGGTGAGGTGGTGGGATTGCGATTTGTGTCAATGATCTTTAACCTGTGACCTTGACAACCTCGAAACTGATGAGTCCAACGCTCTTTTGACTAAGCATCACATCTTCACAGTCATACACCAATGGATTTTATACCACATTCAAAATAGTTTATCATTAGGAGAAGAGGACAAAAACAAAATGATGCAATTTGAGTATTTGATTATTCGTGACCTCAATGAATATTCACTTCTGTTCACAGTCAGTGAATTATACCCCATATAGTTTGAAACATAGTAATACCAATTATGAGGTCATAATTACAAAAGCCATCTTACCCAGACATCTACTTTTGGTCCAACATATTCTTTTCCTTCAAATAATTCAGGAGCAGCATAAGGAGGACTTCCACACCATGTTGTTAAAAGTTCTTCTTTCGTGTAATAGTTTGCAAAACCAAAATCTAAAAATGAATAATTTTTTGTATTAAAAATTGAAATTAACAGATGATTTATTTTGTTCCAGCAGATGTATAAATTTGAAGTCTGGTGAGAACACCAAGATGAAACATGAGAGGAATTCCGATCTGCTGTTGAAGTTGGGTGGCGCGAACGGTGAAAGGCCAGTAGGGTGCGGGCACCATTATTAAGGAGGATCTGAGAAATCACGGGAAGCCAGCAAAACGCTCAGACCATACATAATGCTGGGAATAAATCGAGCAAAAAGTTTCATCGCACCATATACCGGAGTCTACACTTGCACTTGTAGGACTATGCTCTATAACCTTCAAGGCCCTTCCCTTTGTTTTTATCCATATTATTCAACAACAGAAAAATTGTAAGATAAAATGAGAATTACCAGCAATCTTAATATTTTTTCCAGCATCCAGAAGCAAATTTTCAGCTTTCAGATCTCTGTGAACCACATGACGTGTATGACAGTAATAAACTGCAGCGACAATTTGTTTGAATTTTCCTCGAGCTTCCTCTTCTGTCATTCTACCATGTGCAACCAAGTGATCTGAAAGAAGAGAAACTTTTCCATCTCGAGTCACTCATAAAATCCGGGAACGTTCATGTCGAAAAGTTAGTTTAACTAAAAAAACGGAACCTGGGTAATTTAGAGCGAGAACATAACTTTGTGTGAAGCCTCCTGAATTACTGAAACTTCTGGGTACATCACACAAAATCAGCAGTTCAAGTGTTTCAGTTGTTCAATTTTCTCCATTTCTATTCGGTTTTCAAAGATTTTTGGGTTGAATTCTAACTTTTAAATAGTTTCGATTTTGATTATCCTGAATAATAAGATATAACTGTAAAATTATGTTATGCCTTATGAGCCAAATTTCCAAAAAAATCAGCGGTAATCATGATATCAAAAAGAAAAAATCAAAAATTTCACAATAATGCCTTTCATGTGAAATATTGATTTTTCAATATCGTTTAAACACTACAAAAAGTCCCAACTACTAGTCAAAAATGAGAAATGAGCCATGTGCCTCACAAAGCAAATGAGGTTGAAATTTTTCCGAAAGGAATTGGCCATAGCCCGCTTAATAACCGAGTTCAAATCTGAGATCTCTCAACTTGATAGAACAACAGTCATTAGCAAAGCTAAGAATTCCACAACACCTCAAACATTAAATATTTGAATCCAACATACACAGTCATTTATCAATCTTGACAACACATTAGTGTTTATAATAAAACCACTGATTATCTTAGTGAGTGGAATATAATTTCAATAGATATTATCACCAACAACTTTTGAAACTTGAAAAAACCCACAAATCACAAATTATGCGAAAAAAACGCTAGTCTGTCTCACCATATTCAAATTTTTTATATCTAATATCAAATATGAACTTATAGACCAGGTCACCAGTTTAATATTCTTAGAACCGCAAACTAATAGATACATGGAGACAAATAGACTGTGTGGAATTTGTGAAACATAACTTTGTGCTTTTACATAGAATGATCACGAAGCTCAGACGAACCAATATGTGAATTATTATGATGAACCGATAAACTGCGTAAAAACAGCTCCCAAAATTAATAATTTTGCAGTTGAAAGGGCTAATAATCATGGACACGACATGGACCTATGGATCATTTTTGTAATCGTTTTTGTTGCATTGCTGAGACAAAATATTTGTTTCTTTCTAACTATTGAAATAGTTTTACAGTAAATCAAAGAATCCACTCCAATTTTTTTGTTAATACCCCTTTGGGCCCCTTTCCAATATTGCTTATTCTAAAATATTGCATCAAAACATGAATTAATAACTCGACCCCCATGCCCATGATGAACACTGTGACTGATCTCTCGTTCGATGCCCAATTCAAAATAAAATTCATGAGTAAAACTGATAAAATAAAGAGTTTTCAAAACAGAAAAAGTAAGAAAAATATATACAATTGGAAACTGGTCATTTTAAAAGAATGCTGTTAAACTAAAGTACCCTTGCAGTTGCAGTATGTATAATAATGCAAAGTTGGAAATTGCAATAAATACTCACCGAATATCTCTCCATTACTTGCGTACTCAGTTACAAGGTAAAGCATCTTCTCTGATTCCATGACCTGAAAACAAAAAAAAATAAATACTTGATAAATACTTCCATACATACAAATATAATAAGTAGCCTACTTTACCAACAGGCGCTTTTAATTAATAAAAAATAATGTAAAATAAAGAAGAATAGCCCAAGTTAGATTAAGAGATAGGTGAGGTTTTACAGGGGCCTTTTCGCAGTGCGCAAGAACACTCAACTATCAGAAAGATAGGGTTGACCTTTAACTGATGTACACCTGGTCTAGACAATAAAAATTGATTTTGCAACTTTATACAGATTGTTGATAGTTGACTGCTTTATTTCCTGTGTTAACCTGACTAATCAGAGCTGAGTTCAAACTTCATACTAACCGGGTTAGGCCTATAATTATCTAGCATATTAGCATCTTTATATTCATTCTATGTGTGGAATGCTCAATTGAATTGTAGTAGCACATCATAACAGAAAAACACATTTATGAAACTGATACCAAAATAACAAGCCAAACAATTATTCTGCAGTACAAAAGGTGAATTGATTACTAAGGGACATAAACTGTTATAGTATTTGTATCGCTTTAACACATCATAAACAAGTTAACTCTCATGATCCTTAGGTTAAATAAATAAACAAATTAATCCTTTTAGAAATTAACTACCATTATTTGATAAGAATTTAGATTGCTGTAAGAACTGCAAGGAAATAATAATTTTTGTCTTGTGTAACATTTTTTTCATTTCTCATCATATTTGATATTGAATTCAATGTATAATTTTAGAATAACAGACAATTCAGCTATGGACTTTCCTAGATGAATTTTCTCAACATTATTTGAGAAATGATATATAAATATTAAATATTGAATCATAAGTCAGTACATTGGGAAAATTACACAAATTACAGAAGCACAGCAGAAGATACCAAATGATTCACTTTCCGAGTACAATATAAATACGGTAAGTGAAAAATGTTTCAGAAAATGGGATATATAAATATATTGCAAATTGGACCATGTTCAAAATAGAACATGCAACATGGTTCTGAATTTTTACAGTTACAGGAATTGAATGAAGATATGTTTGGTCATACTGGCAGACTTCAACGGCTCAGAATGATAAATTTGCTCATAGAACTATCAAAAATTGAGAAAGTCAGATATACGGTAAATAATTTTGAAGCGATTGAATTATTCATTATATTTGAGATACCCCTGATAAAACATATTCAAATAAGTAGGGTATTGGAAGCGTGTAACACAATCAGGGAAGTGATATCTCTCATCAGACTTTGGAAACGAGCAAAATATGAATCATAACATTCTTCTCATTAACATGTGTGACCTATCAGGAAGTGTCTGTTGCGACTCTCGTTTCCTCTCACTGTGACATTTGCATTGTCGAGAAACAAAAGCTAAAAAGAATAGTCGGTATCTACCGTTGTCCGGTGCATAAGGAAAAAGCTCAGATGAGAATCTATTTCACCCAGATTGTTAATAACAACAATAACACTTATATCATGTCTAGATGATGTTAAGATGTTCAAAAAGATGTATGAGCAAAATTCAAATATATGTAAATTGATCCTATTCGATATAGAGTAAATTTTAATATTAGGAATAATTCAGAATATTTTTATATAAAAAAAAAGGCTCCACAAACTGGTAATTGAAATACGCTATTCAAATCAGAACCTGCTTATTTACCGGTCACTACTGCTAACCGCAGAAAAGCAATGAAATCAATTTGATATCCTAACTCTTCTATAAATACACTGATATCTGGGTTGAAATACCCCAATTAGGATATCTTAGATAAGCATGCCTCATTCAGAGAGAATATGTAAAAAATTCTTGTTCAAACATATTGTTTAAATCTCATTCGAAAAATTTTATCATTCGTTTTCAAAAGTAATTTATTTTTATTCCGACACAATGTGATATATACTATACACATCAAATCAAGGAATAGGCTACTATTTTTACATCTTCATTCCTTGAAATAGTATACAGATGATAAACATAATCAAGTGGTCGGTTTTATTTAGAATTAATGATATGTTTAATAAATTCTGTTTTCAGAAGAAGGAGAAAAGAAATTCAAAAATAGTTTCAAAACCGGCTATCATGTAATGAATTGGAAACTTCCTTGTAGTCTGACATGTGACAGTAGCTAATAGTTTGCCTGAAAAAACTAGTGAAAATACCAGGAGTTCTATCACAAATATCAGGAACAGGAAGCATATGATTTACATATGATTCTATCTTCTATTTATAAAAAATGTTTCATTTCAAAATTGCAAAAAAATTGAATGAAATTTTTGGAATTGATAAATTATGTAAAAGGGAATCAAATATCATGTTTAAACTTGAACCATGGATGAATTTTATGGTAAAGACTAATATTGTCCAAAAAATTTTCTCCAAGAAATCAAGTGAGCTATTATTCAATAGGTTGTAAAATTTGCAATTTTTTATGATGATGTCGCAGTATCAAATCACATAGTATTTCTAAATCAAAACTAATGCAATGCAAAACAAAATTTTAAAGACCAACCTATTCCATTGAGAGTATCCCCTACTCTAGAATTTTATTTGTGCTGTGACTAACACTTGTTTGTGGTAGCTCTTTCAGCTTCAGATAAAGCAAAGGAATGTTATATAGAAACCATATTAAAGACAAGTAATATAACAATCATATTTTATTAAAGAAGACATGGCCACCTATGACGTTTGAAGCAAAATTCCCAAGAGGAAATTTTTCAAATTTGAATTGTATTTTTGCTCATAGCAGGCCGGAGAAGGCCCATGATTGTTGTATTCCTTTATAGGTTGATTAAAGTAAGAAAAGTACTCCAACTATGTATGTTCATAGCTATGCGGTTTGAGTGTGGGTAGTGGGATTGGTGACTGGTGCACATAGCTATTCTCAATGGGTTCTTTACAAGGTAAAATTAATCTTTGCGAGGTTGCGTGCATACGTCACTGGTGCGCGTCAGAGTCACCGGGGATTTGGTGAACGGGATTAACGTGGTATTACGTTTAATTCAATTATTTAATTGACAGCTCTTAATTGAGTTATTACTAATGAGAGGACGCATGTGTAGGTAAAGGTATTCAGACCCATGTACCAAACAAACAACATGTTCGTAAAACCCCATAATATTACCAAAATGAAAAGATGAATCTATTTTGAAGCAAGCACGCTTCAACCAACATACAACCAATACACGCCGTGATTGAAACACATTTCCTCCTAAATGAAGGCAAAGCCATGAGAGGGCTATAATAATATTTGCGGGAATCCTGGCGTGTAGTTTGCTGACCATTGGCAATTCAGTAACAACCATCCATTACGAAGACACATTGTGAGAATTGAGGACAACCTTGGTTACATTGTCTAGTTCTAAGTGAAGCAACGCTTTCTCGCGCAACTATTATCAACAAAATGTAAATGTAAATGTAACAAATGACTTGCCAGACCCAACCATCGGAGTTTGATAAAATCGTATACATGTATGCTATTACAATGACATCACGCTACCCTTATCTGATGGACACGAGAGACGAGACAATGTTAAGTGTAGGGTGGGTTATATGGTTCCAATCGAAATTTGAATATACCCCCATGTATCAGGCCGCTATATATTACAGTAAGTCGGAGGCTAAAAAATGCGCCCGATTTGGCGTCGGCACGATGCAAACTGTAGGAACGTTTCGGTGCGATTGCGGTCTCTTGTATCAACATTTTATTCCGATTGATATCACGTGTGTGGCGAGTTACGATTATTATCAACATCAAATATTGGACGTTATCACTTTTCAATATTAATGAAATTTAATGTCAAGATTCGATACGGCGGCGTAGTAGTCCGTTCTCCTTTCAAACCTGTAATTTTTGGCGCGTGGATTTATGCTTATGCTTTGATTAAAAAATGTTTTCATGAACAATAGGCATTTTTCTCCGTTAATTCCTTTCTCATTTATTTTATCTGTTGCCTATTTTTATCGATAATCGTTACTTGGAAAACCTTGGATGTTTGTTTGCATTCGCGGCTTGAACGATTCTTTTAAGCTAAAGTTTTAGGGTAAAGTTCGTGTTTTGAAAAATGAAGTACGGACTTCGTCGTTAGTTGAATAACACGATTTCATATGAAGCGGTAAGTGCGGTCCACGGGTCTCGATATTCATTACTTGGAAAACTTGGATAATTATTCGGTTTCATCGCTTAACGGCACCAACTATTTTATGTTCTAGCTCGTGAAAAAGTTCGTCTTCTATATATGGAGCAACGGTTTTTCTATATTCTAACGTGAGTTGATTAATTCCGATTATAAAATGAACATTTCCTAAATATTTCTTTGTTTGCATTGGATAACATACTCAAGCCGATATTATGATTGATTAAATATTGTTCAATAACAAAAATAAAAATAATTTTCGTGCCTATTCTGGACTTCAACTTTTTATGCTTCGGACTGGCTAGAGGTAGGACCAAAGAAATTTTTTCCCAACATGTGTAACCGATCGTAACGGTCACCATATCCTACAAGCGAACGAAGTACAGCAAAACTTACTATCTGAAGGAGTGAAGGTCATCGGAGTGCATGTCTCGAGACCTTTTCAAAATGATATCCACTATCTCACTTAATTTAATAACAACAAACTTTACACGACAAATCATTATTGTCAGGCATGCCTTTTCTATGTTATTTGTTTTAACGTGTTTTGTTAGAATAGCACGGAAAAATAGGACAGTACGTTTGCGTATCCATATCAATAAGGTGACAATGGTAACAGAAACTATAACTACAGTTCTTATTCGCTAAATATTTCCGAGTGGGTGTACGATGAAGTTTAATTAATGAAAGCAGATACTCAAGCTCTCACAATAAATCGCTTTAGATTGTGTGGTGCTTTTCCACTCAGTACGTCACTAAAAATTGAAAGTTCACATTTATCGACTCAAGTTTTATTGATCGATCGTTGAGAAAATTACGATAACGTATCAGATGGGGTACCTATTCGTTGTT